TGAAAAAGATGGAGGAGTACTTAGCCAATTGAGTTTGACACTCAGAAATACAGGTTCCTCTCTAAGTAAGAAAATGAGAAACTAACCTGATGGAAAAAAATAGATAACAAGAAAAAGAAAACATGAAAAGCCTATGAAAACAACAGGTCTTGTTTTGAAATTCTGTACCATTTTTATTGTTCTATGGTGCTTTGTTTTTGTCTTTGTTCTTTTTTTTTTCCCCTCTTAAAAAAAAAAAAAAAATAGGTCAGGCACAGTGGCACCTGTATGCCACCAGCACTCAGAAGGCTGAGGGCGGACAAATGCCATGAGTTTGAGGTCAGCTTGGGCTACAAGAGCAAGTTCAAGGCTATGCTATATTATATAGTAAGACCTTGTCTTCAAAATAAAACAACAAAAAATACATGTCAGAAAAATTCAGACCCAAAGTTTAATACTCCATTTTATCTCTATTACATTAACAAAACTTTTAAATTATGACATTCTTGTTTATGTCTACCAAACGATAACAACCAGCAGCATTAGTTACATAGCTTAATGTGGATCAATCTTTGTTTTTTTAATTTTTTATTTTTTTATGTATGTGGGGGGGGGCAGCTCAGCCCACCAGGGGGCGGGGCTGGCTGGCATGTGGTGCTGGGGGATTGAACTGCGGTCCCTGTGCTTTGCTACAGCTTGTTCTAAGTAGGTGCTTTAGACCACTGAGCCATCTCACCAGCCCCAATGTGGATCAATCTTAAAACATTCAGTGTTTACCTCTAAAAAGCAGTATTTAGAAAAAAAAGGTGTTATAGACAGTCTCAAAATAAGAAAAATTATATAAACTAGAACTATAAAGAAAAACAAGGACCGGGGAGATGGCTCAGTAGAATAAGCGCTTGCCTAACAAGTGCAAAGGTCTGAGTTCAGTCCCCAGTTCTGCCAAACAAAAAAAGAAAAAAAACAAGGGATCTGTTTGAGATGGGCAACAAAAAGTCATTTAAAGACTTAATAATTTAAATACACTTCTTAACCTGGAAGGTAAGTTTACGTATCTGCTTACATTATTTTTCTTGTTAAGTTTACTGGTACATTTTAGACATACATAATGATCACATTGATCATAGGGAACTTGTACCTGTACATGATATATCTTTTTTTTGTACATGTCTTTTCTTTTTTTAAATAAATCTTTTTTTTTATTTATTTGGTACGGGGTCTCACTATGCAACTCAGACTTGTAGTGATCCTTCTGTCTCAGTCTCCCTGGAGCTGGGATTACAGGCATGAGCCACCACACCTGGTTTCTGTGGCCAGCACAGCACACCCAGGGTTCTGGGGCTGGTGTGGCATCAGTACTGGGGATCAAACCCAGATCCTTGCACTTGCCAGCAGACACTTAGACCATTGAGCTATCTTCCCAGCCCTGTACAGGATATATCTTTTTTATTTTTTTATTTTAACATTTATTTAGTGTGTGCGTGTGTGTGTGGCCAGCTCAGCCCACCAGGGGGCGTGGCTGGCTGGCATGTGGTGCTGGGGGATCGAACCGCGGTCCCTGTGTTTTGCCAAGCTTGTTCCAAGTAAGTGCTTTAGACCACTGAGCCATCTCTCCAGCCCCAAAATGGAATAAGGGTTTTTTTTTTTTTT